AGGTCTCGGGCTCTCCCCAGATCTGGTAAGGTTTGTGTTGCATGGCTTTGAATGGAAAATTGCACTCCTGGCTTGTTGCTACAGCAGTGTTGTCTAAGTAATGCTGGAATTGAGAGCTCGTGTGTAGTGGTGATAAATAAGGAAAACAGAGTTGTTGGTTTTTTTTTTTTTTTCTCAAATCACAGATACTGCACAAAGACAGCTCTTGTTACAGGTTTGTTTTGTGAATGCCTGAGTATTTCTGTTTTGCATCACAGCCCTGATGTTGTTGCTCTGTTAGATTGTTTGCAGGTGCTCCACTCCACTGGATACCTCAGTAAAAGAAAAGATTTCCATGTTCTGTCATGTTGAACCAGAACAGGTAAGAATTGCTGTGTGTGCTTTCTTGCAGTAAATATTGGAGCTGTTTGTCAGATGCTGAGGGGAGTTTTGCCTGAGACAGCAGTTCTAACTCTGTTTTGGTAGCTGCATAATTCATTTGCTGCCTTGTCTTAATCTCCCTTACTGGCACATGGACCTGTTGCTAAACCAGTTCTTGACAGTGCCAGGAGCCAGGTTTTCATACAAGGTAGTTAATGTAAGCTTAGAGAATTCTGGAGACTCCAAGGGGATTTCTGAATCACTGTTTTGACCTTAATTATACTTCCACATTCCCTCTGTAAACTTAAAAGAATAAGATTTTTCAGTATTTAGAGGCAAAAGAATTGCCCCAAATTAGGTTTAAAGGATATATGTCTGTATTTCATACAGTCCTCTTTTCACAATATTGTTCTGCCTGCGATTTCTTGAGGAGAAATTGCACAGAGAGGTTGAAATGGTATTTGGGAGAAGCATTGCTTCACTTGAATGTTGCGTGATATGCACAAATTCCATGTTAGCATGATTCTTTTTATACTGAGACTCATAGCACAGTCTAAGGTGGATCTTGGAAAATAGTCAAAAAGCATATAGCACTTTCCAATCTAGCTGGAGCTTGAAAAACTTTGTCTTTTTGTGGAAGACTGAGTATTACTTCACAATCCCAGGTTGTGTTAAGTAGTTTTTATTAATTTGCTCTACAACAAGACCAAACTTGAGTTCTGCAATTTCAAGCACTGCACTGCTGGCAATAATGTTGATGTGTCATCAGTAAAATATCTACCTCTTGTTGGCCAGGAATTCAAAATAAGTTGGCTCTTGTTCCTTCCCAGGAAGTTTAATGCAGTTCTGTGTAGTTGTTGCTCTGGCTGCAGTTGCACTTAGATTGAGAAGTAGACAGCACTGAGGGTAAAAGAGGATAATGTGCAGCCAAGGAGGTTCGATTGGTGCAATGTTGAACTCTGCTTTCATTTCAGTCAGTAGAAATGAGGATTTAAAAATAATTGTGCCAGTGTGTTTTGGATTCCTGAAGTACAGCTTCATTACTAATGGACATGTGACACTTGTCCTGAGCCATCTTTTCCCATTTCACTGGACTAGGACTGTTGTTGTAGATTTCCCTCATTGACCTCAGAACGGTTCAATCCTAAATTTGAGAATGTAAAATGAATTGCTGCATTGGGGTCACAGATTTCTGTGGGTTTGAATCTCACTTGGAGCCCTGCTTAGGAAGGGCAGTGGTGGGAAGGGGGAAGCTGTGCCTAGGGCAGTTTGTAGCTTCACTGGGGATTCTGTGGCACAGGAGCCTCTCTGGAGTGTTCTTTGAACTTTGCTGTGTGCTCACATAACGTGCTGGGCAGCTGACTTCCCTGCTGCTGGGTTACTGGGTTACCTACAGCCTGTCCCAAGGGGCTCTAGGGAGCTGTAATGCATTGGAAGTGCTGAAGGATGGCCTTTTCACACATATGGAAACAGTATGAAGCTATTCATGTGTTATGTTATTGAACATGTTATTGCCTGGAAGTTTAGGTGGTCATGTGGTTCTCTGCTAGAGACAGCAATGCTCTGAATATCTGTGTAAAAATAATTGCACAGGCACTGCCTGTGTTTAAATGCCTGTTTTAATGATACTCTTATTTTATGAACAGGTCATTTGTGTTCATGATGTCTCCTCTATCTACCGGGTTCCTCTGTTGTTAGAGGAGCAGGGAGTTGTGGACTACTTCAGGCACAGGCTGGACCTTCCCATCGAGAGGCAGCCCAGGAGGATGCTCATGAAGTGGAAGGAGATGGCTGACAGGTGAGCTGCACTGCTAGGCACACTTAACACACCCCAAGATTGGTTTCTCTTCCTGGTTGCTGGTTGTGAGATGATGAGTGTTATTTCCTGTTCCTCAAGCATTCTTACATACTCACAATGTTTTTTTCTTTTGCTTAGAGCCCTATCCAAACCTTGAATGTTTCCAGGGGTAGGCAACCCACAGCTCCTCTAGACAGCCTGTGCCAGTACCTCACCACTCATTGTACAAAATTCCATCCTTATATAGCCTCAGTATCCCCTCTTTTAGTTAAAAAACCATCACCCCTTGTTCTACTAAAATGTCTGTCCCTATGTTTCTCATAAACCCTCTTACTGAAAGCCTGCCTTTAGGTCTCCCTGGAGCTTTCTCTTCAGGCTGAGCCACCCCAATTCCCTCACCCTTTTCCATAAAATCTTGTAAGAGAAACTTACTGAGATCCTTACCTTATGTTAGTGTACTGTCTTGTGTYAAACCCAGTTTGAAATAATGAAAARATGGGACAGCTCTGCCCTCCCTTTTTATAAAAACAACTCTCAGTACATTGCAAAGTGTTGAAATCCTTTTGTAGTTATATGGACACGTCAGGAGTGTCAATACCTTTGAGTGTGTTTTCAGGCAGGTGAGAAAAGTGGTTGGTACCTGTTCTGTCTGAGACTCCTTGGACACTGAGGGGTTTTTTTCTTGTTAGGAATAAACTTGGTGTTTGTGGAGAAATAGTGGATAGAGTCTCTTCAGACAGGGCTTGAATGCAAATTGAAGCCGTAGATATGTTTGTTTTTATAACAAATTAATTTTTAAAATCTAGATGTTTCCCATTATTTCTGTGCCTGTCACAGCCGTGTCAGTAACATTTCCTTTTGATGGGGAAAGCCCTTGGTTGCCAGCTGGGCTGAAGTATTTGACAATTTGATATAAACTTTTAACAAAATCTTGGCTGTAGTGAGGAGTGCTGTGTGAATCCATGCTGCCAGCTGCTGGGGATTGAAATTGTAGGCAGCACAGCCTCAGGACTCCAGAAATGCTCTCTGTGCTTGTAGCTGCTGATACAAACTCAGTCAGCAGCGTGGGAAGATTCTGTGCAGTGCAAACACACACCAGGCTGTGCTTTGATCCTCTCCTAAGAGTTCATTGCAGCCTTTGGATCTAGTACAGCTTCCTGAACAGGCAGTTTGGATCTGCTCAAAATGGCATTTAATCATCAGGAGAGATGAGTTAATTTATATGTGGCTTTCTGCAACTGTTTTCCTCTGTCATTGTTTTGGTTTTGATCTCACTTTGATGTTTTTAAGTCATATTTATTATAAAAGGTCACTCTTCCAAAGACGTCAGCTCTGTTGGACAGAGTTTGAAGAGCACAGCTGTTTCTTGAAAAGTTAAACAGAAGAATGGGAATTTCCATCCCTCTGCTGTTACTGCTGGAATAACCTGTGTGTTCTGGTGTCGTGCAGGTACGACCGTCTACTTGAAACATGTTCCATTGCACTCGTGGGCAAATACACCAAGTTTTCTGATTCCTATGCATCTGTCATCAAAGCACTGGAACACTCTGCCCTGGCCATCAACCACAAACTTGACATTAAGGTAGGAATGGGTCTGTGTGGGTGGAAAAAATAACCCCCATCCTCATTTCACCTACAGTGCTGCCCATCCTAATTCAGATTTTCACAAACCCATAGACAGAAGGGAGAAGCGATTCAGCCAAACTTTCAAATTGTCCTTGCATCAGAACAACTGTTTTGGTCATCACAACAACATCAAAAAAGCTGTTACCAGGCCTTAACCATCTTCAGAGCAGAGCAGCCTCTCAGCCTGTGAGCTGCACAAGGTGTCTGCAATGATGGAAACACCTCAGTGCTCAGCTTTGTGTGCAGAAATTTTCCTTTCAATGGACTTTTAAATGTCCAGCAGTTTTATGATGCTGGTGAGTCATAGAAATAGGTGGTTTCTTTGTCACAGCACTGATCTAGGTCTGGGTTACCTTTCACCTTCCAAAATCAGTAGAGATGAAAAGAAGAGAAACAAATATGGCTGATGAAGTGTAAACCCTGCACACGAATTTGTGGGTAGTCATTGGCACAGCTGTGTCTGAGTGGCTCAGAAGGGAATGAGTTCTGTGAGCTCTGTGCATGCAGCTTTTACACTGAAGAATTGAGTAACAGTAGTTAGTTAACTGATTAGTAGTTTTTCAACCTCAAAAAAAAAAATCCAACTCAGAATGGTTATTCTATTCTATGGTAATTCAGCTCCAGAATGGTTATTTTAAAGGGTTAGCAGCCTGCCAGAACATCCAGAAGTTCAGAGGTACTGGAATGCTGGAGATGAGAAAACGGAAAAATTGTGGGTTTTTTTCCATTGTCTTAACACTCTTTAATTACAGCAGCCTGTGTTTCACCATATCCTATTTCTTCTTCTGTGCCTCTTTCAGAGGATGTTTATTTGATGAGAAAGTGATACAGTTTTTTTTTCTCTCTGTGTGGTGGTTTGTGTCTGCACAGCCCCATGTTTCCACCTCACTGTGGTGCATTAACATCTCACACATAACATTACAGTCTGGGGCTCATGGGCTTGGTGTCTGTCACAGCAGAGCTGCAGAGAGGGGAGGACAGAGAAATCTTGGGTGCTGTTTGTGCACCAGTAGCAGGATGGTGAGAATGGGAAATCAGCCCAGAAAAAATTTAGGTATCATTAGGAAACAAATCCAGAGCTGTCCAGGAGGAATGATACTTTCTTAATTTAATGAGAATTCAGGAGATCCTGCACATTCTTGTGGCAATATCTCATCATCTTTTTGTTTTTGGGTTTGTTCCCAGTACATTGACTCTGCTGACTTGGAGCCGGACACTCTGCAGGAGGAGCCTGTGCGGTACCACGAGGCCTGGCAGAAGCTCTGTGGTGCTGAGTGAGTTCTGCTCTGGTCCTTTCCTTGGAGAAGGTCTGATAAAGCTGCTGCTGTGACAGCTTTGGAATGAAGGGCCTCCCTCACTGGAGACTGTTTCCTTAGGCAGTGTACCAGCACACTTGACAAGGCCCCAAACACCTCTGAGGGACATTTAGCATAAGATGTTAAATGGAAAATTATTGAATAAGCGAGTGAGTTGGTGAAAGGGAGCAGTGGGGGAAATGATCGTGCAGTGAGGATGTGCACACCTGCATTATCAGGTGCAAACAGTGAGAGGAAATCAGGAGAAAGGAAGGGTACTGGTTGTTAAAGCCAGAGTGAGAATGGAAGGTGCAAATGGGACCACAAGTTCTTTAGAAATAGTGTGAGAAGGGGAAAAGTGTTGGTATGCAGGGCACTGCCAAGAGTTAGCAGAGAACAAGGACAAGTGGGTCCTGTTACCCTTCAGGGCAGCACGATTTGAGGGGGATCAGAAGAAAGAAAGAACCTCCTGCAGAGTTGGGTGTTAGGAGAACCTGACACTGGAGAGGCTTCCTCACCATGGGCCTGGCTGGGTGATGTGTTTGCAAATGTGTGTGGTGCAGAGTATGTGAGTCCCACAGCATGAACCATGTTAGTGTGGTAACCTGTACTGTATTTGGGATCTCTCTTTGGGAAGGAAGGTAAATTTGGCATTTATAAAATGTTTCCCTATAGATTCAGTTTCATGTGACAGCTCACGTGAAGTCGTGTGGAAACTGTTGCAGCCAGGCCTTGCCACGTGGCTGCTTCAGAGCCCTTTTCAGAGAGAGGTGTTGCAAGTCCAGGATTTTATGGGAGGGAGGTGGAATGTGGTTTGGGGAAGCCATGCTGAATGGAATCTTTTCATCCTCATGCAGTGGAGTTCTGGTTCCTGGTGGATTTGGTGTTCGAGGGACAGAAGGCAAAATTCAAGCTATTTCCTGGGCAAGAAAACAGAAAAAACCCTTCTTAGGTGAGAAACATGTTTCATTCATAAGCAGAAATAAAGCAAAGGAAAGGAAGTAGAATAACAGCCTAATGGTCTGCTGCAAGAGCTCTCCTGATTTTCACTGGTGTCTGGGATGTGCAGTTTTGAAGGCAGTTGGCTGAAGAAGGCAGAGATCTGTGCTCAGCTGAGCTGGGAATGCAGCCTCATCCCTGGTTAGCTCTGAAGTGGTCAGAGTTGGCTGGGATGTGCTGACAAGCAATCTGTAATGAGGGGATAGCAGTCTGGGGATGTTTCAGAGCTGGCTGTGGTGATCTTGGCACCAAGAAATACGTGACTGCATTTCAGTGGAATGCCTGTGGTGAGAGACTGAAGTGGCGTGTGAGCAGAGCATTTCAGGATTAGAGATCCTTAAATCCCAGTCAGGTCTGCCTCATCCAGGTTTTCCTGTGGCTCAGGATCCTCTGTGAAGGCTTTACAGTGTGGGCTCAGAGGTCCTTGTCCTGAGCTGATCTGTGTCCTGCCTTTCCTTCCACAGGAGTCTGTTTGGGAATGCAGCTGGCAGTGGTGGAGTTTGCTCGCAGTGTCCTTGGTTGGCAAGGTAATTGCACAAAACCCTTCCTGCCTTTTTGCCACTTGGATTGCTTGAGTAATACCTGAGATTTTTAAAAATACCTGTAGTTTTAATTGTTCATAAGTAAGTCTCATTTTTTCCCTTGGCCTGTAAAATTCCCCATCTCCTTTGCTAATCCAAAATCAAAGGAGCATTTTCCTTATCCTGTTTAAATAAAAATCAATGGAGTAAGTCATGCTTATAGTGACAGAAAGGTTCCTATTGCTTAACATGAAGTTCAGCTCCTGAATGAAACACCTTGGTGCCCTTTGTGTGCTGGGTATCCCAAATTCCCACTGCAGCCATGGGAATGAAGCCCAAAAAGCAGTTCAGCCAGCAGTTTTAAATCCTTCAGTGAGTGGCATGACCTTCTGAACTCCACTGCTTGAACAGAGCAGGTCCCTGTTAACAGAACTCCCATCAGAGAGTGCTAATTTGAGTTTGCAGCCAGAAGTGAGGGTGAGGAAAGAAGACTTTATCTGGCCATGCTGCTCCCTTCCCCCTCCCTTCCTTTATTTCTGTGTTTGGTGGTGTTTAATGTGTTTTTCCTGAGCATGAGTGAGTTGCCCTAAGACTGCAACCTTTGAAATTGATACCAAACAGTGCTGCCAGCCCTGCTCCTGCTGTGGGGTGAGCTCTGTGCCCAGGAGGGGCTCAGCACAACTGGAGATGAGAAGCAGCTGTACCTGGGGTAGCTCCTGCAGGTGCTGATGCTGTGGTGTGAGACACTTGGTGTTTCTGACTGCTGAATGTTCCATTGCAGATGCGAACTCCACAGAGTTTGACCCCAAAACTTCTCATCCAGTGGTGAGTTTATGGTGACTTACTTGTGGTATCCTGACTAGACTTAACTGCACATCCCTGGGCACATTTGCCAGGAGAAGATGTGGCTGCCCCATCCCTGGAAGTGTCCAAGACCAGGTTGGACAGGGCCTGGAGCCACCTGGGATGAGCTTTGAGTTCCCTTCCAACCCAAACTGTTGTGTGGTAGCCACACAGACCTGAATTCTTTGGAACATTTGTGGAAGCCTCTGTGTTCCTTGTCCAGGGTCCACCATCGTGATTGGCTTCTGCTATAATTTAAAATACTACTCAAAGTGAGGAAGTTATCAAAAAACAGTTTATGATATTATTTGTCAAAGAATAAGCAATTCTGATTTGGGGATTTTGCTCCCATAAATGTGCCTGTTTGTTTAAATGCAGCTCAGCAAACAGCATAGTATTGGTGTGTGAGGTAAGGGTAGACTCTGCCTGAGATTTCCTATGTAAAAGCTTCCAGAATATTCCACAAATCTCCCACATGTTCTGTGCATCCTTTACTAGAACAACTCACCCACCTGACCTGGTTCTGTTGGTCTGCCTGGTCAAGACAGTGTTCCTTGGGGTGGTTTCCTCAATTTTTTGCATGAATGTTGGTGGGTTTTTTTTTCCTTTAATGTCAGAGTCTGCCTGGGACTGTTATTCCAGCCTGATTCCCACCTCCCTCTGGATTCTTTCCACAGGTCATAGACATGCCAGAACATAACCCTGGCCAAATGGGTGGCACCATGAGACTTGGCAAGAGAAGGACACTCTTCCAAACCAAGAATTCAATCATGAGTAAGGCCCTTCTTCCCTCTTCTGAAAAGGTTTCCTGGGAATGGCTTGCATGTGTGGTGGGTTTGGGGAAGTGGGACTGGGAATGTTGAAACATCCTTGAATGGCAGCAGTTCACAGGCTGTTGTGGTGGGGAAATGGGGTTCAGGGATTTGATTCCCTCCAGAAGGGGCAGATTCTGAAGAATGATACTCAAATGAATGTGATAAAAGTTGGTGTCACTGCTCTAAGGGACATCTTGCTTTTGGTGCAGGGAAACTGTATGGAGATCATGATTTCTTGGAAGAGAGACACAGACACAGATTTGAGGTAAAAATGCTGCTGTAGGTATTGAGCTTTCCTGTGTTATCCAGACTCAGGAGATCATGGCTTGTCTTGCTTCTGGTTTTCTAGGTCAATCCAGAGTTGAAGAAGTGTTTTGAAGAGCAAGGTCTGAAGTTTGTGGGGCAGGATGAGGAGGGAGAGCGGATGGAAGTGGTTGAGCTGGAAGGTGAGTCCTTAAGCAGTTGTTTTGTAGGTGTAGGATGGACAAGGGGAAGTGTTTGGAGGGTAATGGAGCAGGTTTTTGTGTGGGATCTCTTCAGACTGTCTCCTCCATCCATAAAATGATGGTGAAAACAGAATGCCATGTCCTTGTCCATTTATGGACAAGAGGCATGGAAATGATACTTCCCCATCATCAGGGCTTCAGCATGATCAGGATTTCACCTGCAGCACAGCCACAGGTAAGGCTTGACATGAATGTTTTGTGTGTTTCTCTCAGAGCATCCTTTCTTCGTTGGTGTCCAGTATCACCCCGAGTTCCTCTCCAGGCCCATCAAACCATCACCCCCATACTTTGGGCTCCTCCTGGCGTCTGCAGGGAGACTCACGCACTACCTACAGAAGGGCTGCAGGCTCTCACCCAGGTGGGTTTAAGACAGACCCCAGTTAGAACTGTCACAGGACAGTGCTGCTTCCTGCAGGATAAACTGGATCATCCTCTTGGCAGAGTTCCAGGGGATGTCTGGGGACATTGGTATTGCAGCATTTCTTTTTCCCACTGTTTCTTTGAAAGCTCATGCGTGGTGTCTCCAGGCTGATTGTGGGGCCACAGAGCTGTCCTGCAGAGAGGCCCTGGCTTCAGGGAGAGGAGATCTGTAGCCTTGTGCTGTCAGTCAGGGTGTTTGGGAAAACTGAGGCTGGGCCTGCTCTTTTACATGATTGGACATGTCATGGGCTTTTCCCCACATTCCTCAGCCAAGTCCCACATACAGGTTGGTCCATTAGAAACTTGTTCCTGCTGCTGGTTTAAAGAACAGGCCCTGGTGGTTGCAGCCTCATGGTTTTTTCTGCTGACTTCAGCTTTCTTTGTGTCAGTTTGTAAAGGAAGAGGCGTTTTGGGTGGATTTAATGGAGCAGTTACTGGTGCTGCTGCTCCCCAGCATCTGCAGTTCTGTTTGGCACTCAGGACTGTGCAACAAGGAACAACCCCTTGGTACTGACCTGCAGTGCTCCTCACAGAGCATTGAGGGGTTGCTGAGTGCTGACAGGCACTAAACAAAAACCAGACCAAGTGCAGAGGAGAATCAGCAGTGCCCATGTCAAAGCCAGGCAAATGCAGTGCCAAAGGGACGTGTTGGCTGAGCTGCAGTGCAGCTGCACCAGGGAGGTTTCTGTGTTGGTTGACACTGTGCTGGGTCAGGTGTGGTCCAGGAGAGTTTCTTGAGTGGTGGTCTCTAATTTCAATGCATCCAGGAGTTGAGGGTTATTTAAACTTCCTGCTTTTGCACATTTCAATTAGAAATGGCTCCTCACAGCAGAGGCTGTCAAAGTTTTTCCTGTGCTGCAGCACCCCCTGTTATAATTTAGTCCTTAAGCCCAAATCTCTGCTCTTGCAGGGACACCTACAGTGACCGGAGTGGCAGCAGCTCCCCTGACCTGGAGATAACAGAGCTGAAGTTCCCTTCAGCAAATCACGACTGATTCCTGGTAATGTTTCATGATCTCAACCTCTTCCTTTTGGAAATAATTCCTTGTCCAGACTTTGCTGCTAGCACCTGACTTTCACATTATTTGGTAGAAAGCTGGCTCACCATGAGCTGTGCTGGAGCTCACATGTTCCAGTTGTGCTGAGGGCTGGGTAGTGCCTCTGTGTGACAGCTGGGGGTGGGTGTCCCCTTAGCAAAGTGACACACAATGAAATACAAATACACAGGAGTTGGGGGTTAAATTCAGATAAAAGCACCAGTGGAGCACACACTCCTGAAAATGGAGGACAGAGCTGAGCAAGGGGTTCCTGGGTTTAGGAAATTCCAATGTTTTGCAGTCCCTCACCATTGTTAATGAATTTTGAAGTATCTATTGTGTCCCTCTCCTGGGACAGCAGTTCCTCTCAGGCCTGGGGCTCGAGCTCTGGTCTGTAAGGGCTGCAGGCATTTCAGGGATGTGAGAACTGGATGTGCAAAATTGAGGGAAGGAGGAGACACTAAAACCTGGCACGCAGACTGCACCAGCAGAACAGGCACACTTTGAGTTGTCTCTCTGTGCAGCAGGTGATTGTAAATGTGGCACCTTCCCCTGTTCTGGCTTGTTTGTAGGGGGATTTGCAGGAGTTAAGCACCCCACCCCACTCCACTGCTGAGTGCCAGGGCACTGGAGGGGTCCAGCCATTCCCTCCTCCCCCTTCCCTTTGTGTAACGGACCCTTCCAGAGTGAACTGCCCAGGGAGAGCAGGGGCAGGAGTGCTCCCCATCCCTGGGCACGGGACTGGGACCAGATGCTGGGATTGCTGCTGTTCCACAGCTGGGTCAACACAAAAAGCTGAAGAATTCTCCCTGTAAATTATCCTGAAGATACTCTGAAGCTTGCTGTCACTGACCACATCTCGTGTGCTCCCTTATGTGGCAGCTCTGGTGTCCCCACGTGAGGAAGCAGTGGGGAGGGTGGCAGTGGCAGTGTGATGTGTCCCCAGAGAGGAAGCAGTGGGGAGGGTGGCAGTGGCAGTGTGGCATGTCCCTGGGGCTGCAGCACAGTGTTCCCCTGGTGCTGGGTAGGGCAGGGGGTCAGTGCTGGCTGAGCAGTGCTCACTCCTGTGCTCTGGGGGAACGTGGCTGTGTGCAAGGAACACGTGCCCAGGGAGGGGAGCAGTTCAGGGCCTCTGGTGGTGCCACGGTGCCCCTGCAAAGCTGGCAGGCACAGGGCTCTTGCCAGGGCCCACACATCAGACTCTGCATCCAGCCTGTGGCTCTTCCCTGTCAGTAACTCCTGCTCCTTTTCTCTCTCCCCCTCCAGGTGTGTCCTTGCTGCAGAGAGGAGTCTCCGTTAGTTTTTCCAGGCGTTCTTACAGCAATAGCTTCAACACCCTCAGCTTTGGGCTATCCTAACTTATAGGTTTATGATTTTYCTTCTGAGATCCTGTCCCTTATTTCCTCAGCTCTTCTGTCCTTCCTTTATTTTCTATGTATACCTTGGTTATTTGTGGAGGAGAGTTCAGAGAGGCCCCTCCAGACTTCGTTCAGTTCCTCCAGTTGCAGCAGCTTGGAGGTCACAGCAAACTGGAGGCTGGATGTGTTGGGGGGAATCCCACATCCATCCCAGGGCGGGGAGTTCTTGGCATCAGGGTGCCTTGGACACTGACAGTGCAGTTGCTTTCTCCAGTCTTTCTGCTCACTCCTCAGTCTTCACTTACTGGTGAAATTATGTGGATGACATGAGATTTTGGGGGCTGGCTCAGTGTCTGA